CTTCAGATTGTCCATCAGATTGTGGGTGGTACGCGATGATACGGTAGAGTTTGGTACCTTAGAGTTTAAACAACTCTTCCTAAAATCCGCTCATAGAAATTTTATCTCGGTCCGATACAATTAAACGTGGAATCCCATGGAAGCGTACGATTTCCTTCACGAATACCCCAGCCACCTTAATTGCTGAAAATGGATGCCTCAAGGGTACAAAGTGGGTATACTTACTTCACCTATCCACCACCACTAGAATGGTGTCCCATCCACTCAACTTTGGCAAGCCTTCCACAAAATCCATAGCTATGTCCTCCCATACTTGATTAGGAATTGTTAGGGGCTGCAACAGACCTCTCGGGGATAAGGCTACATATTTATTCTGTTGGCACACAGCACAATCCCTGACATATTAACGGATATCTTTCTTCATTCCAGCCCAATACACATTCACAGCAATCCTCTTATATGTTTTTAGAAATCCTGAACGCCCCCCAAGCAACCATCATTCCCTTCTTGCATTATTAGCAGAATCAAGACTGATCCTTTGGGAAGAACTAACCTGCCTTTGTAAAGCAATTGTCCTTCTTTCACAGAATAGGCCAGCCACAAGGAAGGGTCTGTTCTTAATTCAGCAACAATTTTTCATAACCTGTCATCCGCTTCTACTTCCCTATTCAGTTGCTCCAACTGGACAATTGCCGGTATAGATAAAGCCATCAATGCTGGCAAGTGGTTAACACGTGAGAGAGAGTCAGCTGCTTTGTTCTCAAGTCCTGGCTTGTATTGAATTTCAAATTGATAAACCATAAGCTTCACTAACCACCTCTGATATTCAAGAGTGACCACCCTCTGTTCCAACAAAAACTTCAAACTTTTTTGGTCTGTTCGAATTATGAAGTGATGACCCAACAAATTATGGCACCACTTTTGGACTGCGAAGACTATTGCCATTAATTCCCTCTCATATACTGACTTTTCTGACCTTTTGAATAAGTACTTAGCAGAAGAAAACAATGGTTCTGTGCTCTTGCATTAACACTACCCCTAGCTCGTATCCCGAAGCAACCATTTCCACAACAAATGTTTTTACGAAATTCGGCAACCCAAGGACCGTAGTGACATCACTCTCTTTTAATCCTGCAAGGCCCGCTCCGCCACTTCATCCCAGTAGAAGTTGTTCTTCTTTAATCTTTCAGTCAGCAGCCATGCAATTTTCCCATAGTCCTTTCTCCTGTAGTACCCTGTCAGACCAAGAAACCCTCTTAACTCACACAGAGAACCTAGACTTGGCCACTCTACCATTGCCCTGACTTTTTGATGAAGTGTATAAGGGATTAGAGTTTATGATGAAATGGGACCGTCACAAGGCAAAATAATGTTTTTTTTTTTAATTTCATGATAACTTCGGGTTCGTTCGTTTTTGGTGAATTGCTAGTATAATTCGATTAGAATCGAGCCAATGAATAAAACTCAGCACCTTTGGCCCTGATGCAAGGCCAATTTTGGGCAAAATCCATTGTTTAGGCCCTCGTTTAGGTGTTTTTGCTATTTATGGTAATTTTTATTTTTGCAATATCTTTTTCCATAAAATTCGGATTTATATTCCGTTTGTTGGAGGACGATCCTGAAGATAAGGATTTTCCATCTTAGTAGTTATCTCATATTTTTCTATTTTTGAAAAAATATCTTTTTATTCCATTTGTCGAATTTTGCTAGGATTTTCTTCTATTTAAGGCGTTGTAAGCCCTTTGAGGTCACAGTTCTTGAATTCAATAAAATTTTCCTTGAGAATTTTCTCATTTTGTGATTGTTCATCTTCCCTATAATCTTTCGCTACGTCACTTTTGCCCCATCTGCAGCTACGCCTTTCTGTGATATGACATGACCCAAGTATTCTACTTCCCGTTGGCTAAAAACAAATTTCTTCACATTCAAATGCAATTGATTTCTCCTAAGCACCTCCAACACCCACCTCAAGTACCCTTGGTGCTGCTCCATATCTTGACTGTATACCAAGATATCGTAAAAAAAGAACTAGGACAAATTGTCTCAACCTCTCCTTGAATATTTAGTTCATCAGTGCTTGGAAGGTGGCCAGCGCATTGGTCAACCCGAAGGGCATAACCAAGAACTTGTAATGCCCCTCATGAGTTCTAAAAGCCGTTTTAGGAATATCGTGAGGAGATACCCTAGTTTGATGATACCCCGCCTTCAAGTCCAGCTTTGAAAAAACTGTGGCTCTATGCAATTCGTCTAGAAGCTCTTCGATGATCGAAATTGGAAATTTATCCGGTACCATCGCCTTATTCAACGCCCTATAATCCACACAGAAGCGCCACCCTATATTTTCTTCTTCTGTCGGCATCGTAACTTCGAAATTTATAGTAAATCCAGTCGAAGGTGCTTCTTTTGTCCCTTTCCCTTTCTGTTCCTTCTCACGTTCCTCCCAGTGGCCCGTGATAAATTTAAATTGTTCCATCAACAAGTTCATATATGTTCTATACCCTATGCAACTCAACCTTCATGGAATCCATGCCCGCCTGAAATGCATCCATTCTCCCCTCCAGGCTGTGGTGATAACCTTCCAATTCCCCTACACGATCGGTCAACATCATCCCCAGGTGAATGCTCTTATACCGAAATGATAGACTCCCGGGTAATTGAACTTCCGAATCACAACACAAAGGAGCTCAAATTGATAATAACAAAGAAGAACGTTTCATTAATTATAAAATGGATGAATACAACCGAAATGAACGTAGAATGCTCAAAGGAAATAAAAGAGAAAATACTGATAATTGGACTTTCGAGAGGTCCAAACTCTCCTGCCAGAAATATTCCACTTGCTAGCTGCCCTTCTCACCATTTCTTCCCACTTATATACCCCTGACTCCATAACAGCTTATCCAATTGAATTTGTTGTGCCCATGTGCATAGAACTTTCTTTTTTCTGGTCTCCCTTTTCTACCCCAGACTTCTTCTCTCGCCTGGAATACTGAATTTGAATAGGTGGCTTATCACATGTTTGACTAAGCTTAAATAAAAGTAAAAGTTACTCCAAAATAAACAAAAGTTGTTTATTTCGGAAGTAATTCTCACGGATGTAACTTCTAATTCTAACTTTGACCAGTAAAAATAACCTTTTATCATAGTAACTTATTTTTTTACTTTTAAGTACAAACTTTTAAGCTTCCACAACATTTTGAAGAGAGAAAAAATAAATAAATAAATTTGTGGAAGATTGAAAAAATTGATGGCATTTTATTTATTTTACGTGCGATGCAGATTTCCCCTTGGCACGATGTACCACTGCAAGTGGACGATGGTGTGTTCAATTTCGTTGTTGAAATTCCCAAAGAATCTAGTGCAAAGATGGAGGTCGCTACTGATGAGCCATTTACTCCCATTAAGCAAGACACCAAGAAGGGAAAACTTCGATATTACCCGTAAGATTACGCTGTTTCACCTCGTCCTTAGCATATTAATTTGTTATCCATGTATTCATGTTAGTTACTTTCAGCTATTTTATTTTGTCACCAGTTTGATTTGACCCTTTTGTGTGCTCTTTCACTGTCAAGACTGCATTCTGAGAAAAAACAAATAAATATATATTGAGAAGCATTTCCCGGTATGTCTTCCCTAATGGACACATTCCTACACTATTATTTTTCACAACTGCTTATTTATATGTTGTGTGTAGTAATCCTTTCTCACGTTGAGCTTGTTCGTTTTGCGCAAATGTTGAATCATAGATTGCATAGCCCACCAGTCTGGCTTTCCTTGAGAGTAGCAAGTGTTTCTTCTGTTGCTTCAGTATGTTATTATTTCAAAGATGGGAATATATGACGATATGATCAGAAAATTGAATGTTTCAATAAAATTTACTTCTTGTATAATAATTATTCACTTGAGACTTCAAAGGAGGTTTAGTGTATTTATCCTCACGGAGTACAAGAATGAAGATTTGCAAAGTTGTCCAAGTCTCAAACTGCATGCTAAACTTTCATATGTTGAACTCCGCTAATTCCTGTGAAGATAAAGCAATAACCAAATATATTGGCATGTTTTCTACGTTAGACTACTTTCGTAGTCTTGTCTCCAGTCCAACTTAGTAAACATACCTTTTATGTCTTGCAAGTTTAAGGTCTCCATTCTTCTCATGTCTTGCAACAACTATTCCAGACTAACCACACTATTTTTTTCAGGGGACTCTTACTGCAATTAGGACTGGTTTAGAGACTACAAAGTTCCTGATGGGAAACCTGCGAACAAGTTTTGGTCTTGGCAACGAGCCAGCTAACAAGGTAACTCGAGCTATAACCCAACATTTTTGTTTGCTCTTGCTTGATATTGTGAAAAATCTCTAATTGGCATCAGGGTGTATTATATTAATTAGTAACTTAACAGTTCGTTATGTTGTTTTGGTGGTAAAACTTAGTAAATATCTTGTTAGGAGTACAACAAAGTTACCATTACTTCAACAGGTTGCAAATTTAGTGTACTTTGGGTGAATATGAAGTGCAGGGAGAGAGTTTTGCAACTAAGCGCCATGCGATGTATATCATCATTTGCAATTATCATTTACAGGGTTCTTGAAAAATCATAGAAACACGCTCTAGTCATTCATATCGTAATCAGTCTTATTTTACGATTACAGGATTATGCCATCAAGGTAATCACTGAAACAAACGAGTCATGGGCTAAACTTGTGAAAAGATCTATACCTGCTGTGAACTTTCCCTTGTTTAAATGTGATTCACAAGAGTTTGATCTGCCAATCTCAGTCTGTATTAGGTAAGACACAATAGGTCTTCTTGGAAAAATCTTGATAATAATTGGTCTAGAATGAAACTAGATATTTGTATTTGAGAGAGCAGTGTACTTTTCACCTTCTGGGTTTTGAATGAAGAGATTTCTTTTATTTCAAGGGGATTTATGGCAATTCAAGCAAAATATTATTCACGCTGTTTCTGATTCATCATTGCTCAGAGAGGGGAAGAGAAAATGGGTATTATTCCAACAGAAAAAATTGCATTAAATTAGCGTTCGCAGGAATTTTTACATTTCTTTCCCGGGAAAGTAGTCGAAGCAATGTGAATGAATTCAAATGCAGAAGATAACATTATTTACACTCACAATGGCCATTAGAAGAAAGAACTTACATAAAATACGCAGGTTAAAACTGGCTATAGTCTTGAAAGAATTTATGGTACGAGAAAAAATTATGCTGTTTCAGTCTTCTTCTTCACTTCCGCAGAGGTAATCGTGTTTGACTTGTCGGTTGTAGTAACTGGATTCTTACTCTCTTCATTAAACCTATCTACACTGTGAAGAAAAATTCCTGCCAAAAGTACATAAAGGTTCAAATATATTAGAATTCCATAAATTGTTCCCAGTTATCAATATATTCTCGTGAAAGACAACTAAAAGAGAAATTTTGGAATAGAAATTGACCTTGGAAATATCCATGAAAACCTTGAAAACATGGTAACTAAAGATTACCTATAAACCATATTGCGGCAGCCACAAACAGAATGGATGTTAGAATAAGAGCAGTTTTCCTCCAATTGTTAAGATGATCCTGACAGAAATTAATTGTGATCAGGAGAAGATCATAAAACATCATGACGAGTACTTTTGAACATAACTGCAAGAAAAAAAATGATCCATATAATGGATCCCTTGTTGCCAAAAATTTGGGCTTCACCACAAATCCCTTTTCGCCACTCTTTTCGGTGCATCACTAGATCAACTAGTAGATTTAAACCAACAAGATGCATGACAACTATTACAATTTTGGTCTACTACCACTTTTTCTTTATTTGGGTGCACTCGTGCGAAATATGCCTCCCATTGTTCACTGCCTTTCCGAAAAGTAAATAATAATCAATTTAACAAAATCAGCAAACCTGAAGAAGCCCAACAAGAGGCGAGGAAGGCACATCACCGAAAATGTGAATGCAGACAGTAGACATAGCCATCGATAATGGTCTCAAACTAGGTGTGACACAATGTAGACAAACAAAATTTACAGGGGCCTGCAGAGGCATAAACGAAATGTTAAGACTCAACCTACAAATCCTTGACTGAAAATTCCATGGAAGAAAGAAAGAACAGTAGCTTAAATTTAGCCAATTTATGCAACAAGAACAATTGAAATCTTACTGCTCCTAAGTTTGTGGTAGATTAAATGAACCACTCCATTCAGTTAATTGCTACATCTACTTAGAGATCCAAAGAACTCCATTCGTATGAAATATTAAGCAATTATTTTCTAATAAATCTATGTGATTTAATTTGTCTAGCACAATAACACAACACCTCAAAGATATTCTGAGCAAACTCTTCTAGAAGTTAACAAGAAAACTGAAGAACAATATAAAACTGTTGGATTCAAAAGAAATGGGAATATACAGCCACAATCGTATGAGGGCACTAAATCAGCAACTGCTTATGCTTCATATCGAAGTATAGTCTTAAAGACAACAGATAATAAGAACAGTGACAAACTTCAAATTGATAAACAAGAATAGAAAATGTGACGAAGGCATGAAAAAAAAGCAAAGCATAGAACGACAGGCACCATATACAGTTGTACAAGAGCATAAACATCAATGAAGATTCGCTCACAAGAAAATTTACCTGGGTGGCAAATATTAGCAGTTCCCCTATTGAAAAAATGATCACGTAAGCAATTAGGCTCTTAAAGCAAAATGCGGCAAGGCAAAATATTGCTCCAAATAGTGTTGTCATTGATAGAAGCTGCACCAGAGAGAGAAATGAAAACTTTGATAATGAATCCCACATTACATACTGGCATGGTATGAAGTGCAAGAAGCTAAGCACGCTTGGAATAATTATTGAGCACTATGCACCATGCTTGTAATGACCATAAATTTAGCCAATAGAAAAGATATGCAGAAACCAGAAAAATAAGAACAGAGAATCTTAAATACTGCCATGAACCGGAAGCAAGCCCAGATATTTTTAATAAAACTATCTGTTACTATAATGATTACATGTACTACTATAATTTTGTATATTATAGAATTTCTAATAACGTTGTTCCCTTTATTATGTAAAACTTTAGATATATCCTAGCAAACAAAAATTTATAAAACAGCTTTTTGATAATTGAAAAATTAATAGCATGTGTTTCATAAATTTTATATTTGATTATTTAATTTTGTATAAGGTGAAAAAGTTAAAAAAAAAAAAAAAAAAGGAAATAGAGGTAATGGTTTATATAAAGGCATATATCGTTGCAATAGTGCATTTGTACCAGCTGGCAACGCTGATAGCTTCCTTGAGCAGAGGTCAGGGGATCAATCCACCCTTCCCCCTGCCAACTTTGCAAAAACAATTTGAAACCGGTAAAACCCTTACCGTTAATCTAAAGTCAAGCCAACGGTGATAACCCAACTCTATGATGATGGGTGGTCGAACTGGCTGAACAGCGGTGTAAAAGGAGACAGGCCCTGCGAAAACAAGAGGCAGGTCTGTGTTGTACAAGGTAGGGCTAGCATCCAGTCAGGTTTTTTTTTTTTTTTTTTTTTTTTTTTTTTTTTTATGTAGTTAATTTTCTGAGGGAAAAAAGGATTAAAAATGTCAGTGTGAGCCAGCGCTCATGGGCTGCAGGTCTAGAGAGTCAGGACCAGCAAGGCTCACCTTTCCAGATAGGCCACACATGGGGTACCTCTAGCAAAATAATGGCAATAATACAACAGAGGATTCTCATTAGGTGATCATTGTCACTTGAAATAGAGTTTACCAACTTTTAACTTCTTTCTTCTAATTTTTTCTTTTGGGTGAGAGATAAGAGAGGGAAAAGAAGAGGATAGTTATTGGGAAGGCTCAACAGGAAATTTCCTATCAATTCCATAATGCCACTGATATATATACATTGCCATTGGAGGCAATACATTCTGGAAGCCAGTGAAGAGAAGAAGGTGTTAGGTTTAAGAATAAAATTAACAGAAATAAAGTTCGCTGGTTAACTGGTTGAATATTTGTGCTGGTGTTGTGTTTACAGCAGTTCGCAAGCCATTCAATTTTTGTTTCTTTTTCTAGTAGAAGGAAATGATGGAAGGAGAAAGGCAATACATTATAGAAGAAATTCTCTGGCATCTCACTGTTAATCCATTTACGCATTTGCTTTATGCAGAATTTAAAACTGAAAGAAGTGAAGTTTGCAAAAATGAAACTTTCTTCTCAATCAATTGCCATGAGAAAGTAAATTGCGTGGCCCACCTTAAAAGCATTGGAAATTGTGGAAGTCATATAATCAAGAGCAAAACCCCCTGCTAGTGATCCCAATATTCCACAAATTACTGTTATCCCTCCAAACGTATAATCAGCATTTTTCTGGAAAAGAACAAATTTTCAAATGGTTAGACTACATAAATGTTCAATTTCAACGGATTAGAAAATGGAGAACGTTGTGTTGATAAATTTTTCAAAGGCCGTTAAGAGCTTACCATGTGATATATGTTATAACCAGCTTTGGGACCCCAATAAGAATATGCACCTACAACGAAATTATAGGCAATATAACCTGCATTTACCATTTATATAAAAAAGTCGAAGTTATTTGAATAATAACAAATTAACATGCTTATTTTTGTAGTTACATCCACTACACGCAGGAGCAGTTTTTCAGCAAGTCAGCAACCATTATCTTAGCACTTTCAGCTAGCAATAAGCATGTTATTTAAGATTAAGTCACTTTCCTAGAAAGAAACTTAAGATGTAATTTCTAGAAAAGTAAGTTTAGTTAGTAAAGAAAAGTATTTTTAAATTATGTTGGGGAACGGGAAGCTTAAAAGCAACTTTTACTTCTTGTGGGGTTAGCCAAACATGCTCAAAATGCCAAAAAGCAGAGGAGATGGTACATCAGCACTCCTGAAAATATTTATAGGAAGAACTAACATAAGAGTTTGTAGTTCTGACAGAGTGAAGAACATACCTAAAACATTCACAATATAAACTTGATCAAGCAAAAGAATCTTCATATCCTTCAAAAATCTTATGACAATACATTCATTACGTGCATCCGTTGACCTGAAAGATATGAGATTTGCTATTAAGAAAATTCATTTAACTCTGGAAAAGAACTTGTGAAATATCAGCCATACACTTGAATAAGGAAACCTTATTATTGATAAGATATGTTTATAGCCGAGAAGAACCTAACTGATATCGCTAGAATCTCAAATACTGTAAAATGAGCTCTCACCCAAAACGTTTCGAATTTTGATCAGCAACCGCTTCTCTTGACGACAGTTCACCACCTTCATCATCCAAAATAATTGTGTTAATGAATAATATGAAACACATAAGATGTATTTTTAAAATAATAGAACTATAAGAACAATCAAAAAATAAGAAGCAAAGACATAACCAAAAGACACCCCCCGCTAAGACATGGTGCCACATACATAATGAACATTGAGATAGAACTAGAGAATTGGACAAAAGTATGACAGTATGAATAAGGCATATAGTAAGCCAAACATTTGTTACTTACCTTTCGTCAAAGAAATTATATTTACGTGTTGACATATCACTGTCACTTTGACCATTAGAAAATGCTAAAAATTAACATTTTGTCTAATGCTTTAGATGAATCCCACTCAAACACATGACATCACTAGCCCTCTTAAAACAACCAATTTCGTAACAGATAAGAACCAAATTGTATATCTGGTAATTGACACATCTATAGGACTTTTGCAATCATTACACGAAGAAATAGTGATAAAGTGCTTTCCAAATATTGTTAGTTCATGTTAATAGGAAGATCCAGCACCTTGATTTTCTGTCCCGTCTTCTGCATATGTCAATGCTGTTTTAGATCCAACAGGAGAGAAACCTGTAGGAGCAAAGTGTTTAAAGAAGTGTCTGGGGAATGAAAATGAGATCAAAGCAAGTAATATCTGCACATGGACCTTTCAACTGCAAAGGTTTCATCACAAAGCCTAATATAGCAAAAGGAAGCATCAAAACAGCCTCCACCCAAAAAGCCAGCCGCCAGTTGTAACCCCCACACTACAAGCAAAGAAAAATGAGAACATTAAGTACATGTGAGGTGGAGATAAGAAGTAAAAGGCTGTAAGATATTTTTTCAAACGGAAGAGGTAATAAAAACGTAAACCAACAAAGCAAAATTGTAAGAACTTTTGCTTTCAAAAGATTATATATTTCAAAGCACACAAAATAGTTATTAAGAATATGCATACCAGACCACCATAAACGTAACCAACAGCAATTCCTGTTGGTATACACATGTAAAATGCTCCCAGCCAAAATGTTTTCTGACAAAAAAGAAGACCACGTCAAATGCAATAAAATTCAGGTGTGAAAGATGATATAGAAGATATATGAGCCTCAGAACAGGAAATAAGCAAATTGTAACATGGAAGAAAAGAACATGATTATTCCAATCTCAATTTCCACAAGTTTACAGAAATAAAATTAGCCTTTGGCACAACTCAAAGCATAATGAACGCTGTGATAGATAACAACTGTCTCATCACTACTCCAAGCCTGCTATTTCCGTAAAATACTTGCACCATTCCAGATCCCAAAACTATAATGAGAGAATCCACTCTTATTATCATTCTAAGATGAACATACATGTCAATGTTCATTTGTGAGTTTCACCAAACCTACATGCCTTGAGGAAATTATGCTTTACTATAAAGAAAGGTGTAATTCAAATAATTTCAAACAAGCCTCGCTGAAACAAGCACATAAAGTTTGTAAAGGAAAGAAATCACGTATAATCACATATATTAGGCAATAAGAAATCACATATATTGGGTTTCCATATTTGTATTCTTGATTTACTCTATATAATGAAAGTATGAAAGGGAGGTGATTAACCTCTTCTCTTGAAGTTAATACCAATGCCTTTTTCCTCAACATGGTATCAGAGCGTATGTGAAGAAGAAAAATGGTCAGAAATCAGAGCATAGTGGGTAATCTGGGCCTCGTGTAACCTTCACCTTGGAGTTAGGTTGAATTGTCGATCGCGTGGATGATTAACAACAGCAGTCGAGTGGTTCAGTGGTGTTCGGTTGGGGACTCTACGATGGTTTTGTGGTGGTTCAGCAGTTCGGTTTCAGCTCTCCTGTCGCTGGTCGAGTAACTAACTTTGAACAGTGATCGGCATCCCCACGTCGGTCCGAAGTCTTCAACAGTTCCAACATTCACATGAGAGGAATTCTGTCAATAGGGCTTGCTATCTATAGCTCTGGCATTAATTGTTCCAATGGTCATTGAACTTAGGTTCATGTTTTTGATTAATTGATGAAGTTTAAAATGTTAAGTTTTGATTACTGAACTTAAGTTCATGTCTTCGATTGCTCACTGAAAATTAAAATGTCGAATTTTGGCCATTGAAATTTGAAAAATATTCTACGTTACTTAGTAGCATAAATGTTTAACTTTGAAAAATGTCGAGTTTGTACAACATTTTTCAAAATTCAGTGGTCAAAACTCAAAAGATAGGTTTTTATTCCGAAATTCAATCTTGATGGGACTATTGACCGATTGAAAGTAGTTGTTAAAGATTGTACACTAACCTATGGTATTAATTATGATGAAACATTCTTTCCAATTGCTAAGATCTCTTCAATTTGTGTTTTAATTTCTATTGCTGCTAATCTTAGTTGGCCGTTATTTCAATTGGATATTAAGAACGCCTTCCTTCATGGTGATTTGCACAAAGAGTTTATATGGAGCAACCATCGGGGTTTGTTGCTCATAGGGAATATCAGAACTATGTTTGTAAGTTGAAAAAGACTTTATATGGGTTAAAACAATCATCAAGGGCATAGTTTGGAAAGTTTTCTGAAGTTGTTTTGGAATTTGGTCTTTAGATGTGTCAGACATATCATTTAGTATTTCATTTACAAACTGGTGCAGGTTATGTCATCCTTGTCGTTTATGTAAAAAATATTATAATCACTGGTGATGATGTAAAAGGAATTGCTAAGTTGAAACAGTTTCTATAACAAACATTTTAATGCTAGAAATCTAGGCAAGCTTCGATGTTTCTTGGGTATTGAAGTCGGGTAGGTCTCAAAAAGGTATCAACTTATCTCAAAGAACGTATATACTTAACCTTTTAGATGAGACAAATTTTCTTGGAACTAGTCCAGTTGATACTCCTATGAATCCTAATATGAAGTTTTTGAAGGATGAAGGAGATCTGTATGGAGAACGGGGTAAATATCGTCGTTTGGTTGGAAAATTGAATTCTCTTACTATCATACGACCAAATATTTCCTATATGGTTAGCATCACTAGTTAGTTCTTGGATGCTCCTCTAGTTTCTCATTGGGAAGTTGCGATATGGGATATTCAATATTTGAAAAAGGCTCCAGGTCTTGGGTTGTTATACAAACCAAATGGACATATCAGAGTAGAGGGGTTTACAGATGCAGATTGGGTAGGATCTCCTTCAGATAGACACGATCTACTACTGGTTTTTGTACCTTTCTCGATGATAATCTTGTGACTTGGAAAAGTAAGAAACAAACTATAGTAGCAAGGTCAAGTGCAGAAGCAGAATATAGAGCGATGGCTCATACTACTAGTGAGTTGACATGGTTGCAATACTTTCTTAAAGAAATAAATCTTGCACCTTCTATCCCTATTCCGATATTCTATGATAATCGGGTTGCTCTACACATTGCATCCAATACAGCCTTTCATGAGAGGACCAAGCATACTGAAGTTGATTGTCACTTTGTTCAAGACAAGAAAGTGAGTGGTGACATATGTATACCATTTGCAAAGATCGAAGACCAGCTTGTTCAGGTGTTTACGAAGTTACTGGATGGTAATCGATTGAGATTCATCTGTTCCAAGCTAGGCTTATAATATATATATGCTGCAGCTTGATAGGAGTGTAAAGAAAAGAAATCACCTATAGTCATATATATTAGGCAATAAGAAATCACGTATATTGGGTTTCCATATTTGTACTCTTGATTTACTCTATATAATGAAAGTATGAGATGAAGGTGATTAACCTCTTTTCTCGAAGTTAATACCAAAGCCTTTTTCCTCAACAAAGTTAGAAGATAATGTCATGTGAATAGAAGGGTGAATCCTATATGATGTATCATTGCATGAAACAACAAACCTTAGCAGGTGGGGCATTATCATCGATGAATGGAGCTGCAAGACTTATAAAAGAAGCCTCGCCAACACCCACTAGCCTAATAAAACAAGCCAAATAAAAAAAATCACAAAATAATAAAAAATAAAAAAACAAAAATGGCAAACCTTTGAGTAATTAAGAGAATTTTACTCACATGCGAAAAATTGCAATGGACCAAAAGTTTTTTGAAAAACCACAACCAGCAGTAGCAATGGTCCAGACTGACAAACCAACTCCAATAAGCCTAAATGGATTGACTCTACAAAATTCAAGTACACGAACTATAATTATCTCGCTGCAGACAGGTAGAAGCACATTCTGTTAGACACGGTAGCTCTTTCAAAATTGGCATCCTATTGATTTTATAAGAACATTGAGAAGATTAAGATACCAAATATTACATGACATGCAATGTTTCTGAAAATTTATTCATGCTAAATTTTGGAGAATTCAAATACTTTTCATAGATGTATAGATGTAGGAAAGAACTTCAACAATGAATGCTTGACAGAACATAATTCATTGAACTTTTATTTTACTGCAATGTCACTGTTGTGACATTACGAATAACGTAAAAATACACCAAAGAAAATGTAATAGCATAATTTGTTCTTGTATCATTTTGACAGGAATACTCCATCCAATTCATGCAGCATTGATTCTACTTCTTGACAACAATTTCACATTTTCTTCATACCACACAAATATCATTTTCTGCATTAATACTTTCCTGACACATCACCATCTTCTCATGCCGAGTGTTCAAATTTTATCTAACCTATAATAGGAGTGAGAAAGAGTCACAACTCAAAGTGATTACCTCTTAGTTAGAGATGCAAACATTGGGGAAGCCACAAGGAGTCCAACCATGAAAGCAGATGATACAACTCCATCCGTAAAATTATTTAGGTCGAAATCGCCCCTGCGTAGAAAGATGCTTATGAAACAATGCAAAGTATATACAGATTTATTCATTTGGTAGATAGTCTAAATGTACGTTTTTGGAGGAGTAGTAGTATGGGTATTGTTATATGAGCATCAACACATTCTCCCACAGCATTGCAGAACCTCATATGGCAAGGGGTTAAACAACTAAAAAGACATTTTCCAATTAGAAATGGACCATTTACAGTCTATCACTCTTGAGGTGTTAATTGTTTTCTTGTTTTTCATTATGTTTTCTCTTGCTCTTTTAAGATTGAGAGGACGAATGTAGTTTTCCCTCTGCATTACATGGCGTAGATTTGAAACCTTACCCTATGTTTGGTTGGAGTGAAAAGTGGTAATGAAGTAGAGGTAAAAGAAATGGATTGCATTATATCCCTTTTTATTTACATCCTACGCGATTTTAGAGATTTAGGTTATTTTGCAATGTGTAAATGGGCTATATGGAGAGAAAGGACGGTATAAAAATATTCGGGATAACAATTAAGAATTTGTAAAAATAAAATTCAGGGGTATGGATTAGATAAAGAAAGGAGATGCTCCATTAACAGAAGTACAGCAAAAGAAATGGTGACCAAATGTTGACATTGAACTTACTGAATTCCAGTGCCTGGTGAGCATTTACCATTTTTCGTGCAAGTCTTGCGGCTTCCATTAACGCCATTGCTAGCTATTGCTCCACGGTCCAAGTAATTTATTAAGTTAATAACACAAAATATAACAAGCAACCTGCCAGAAAAAGAAGCAAGTTAGAATCAAAAGTAACAGAAATGTTTAATGGCAAGACAGTAGATTCCATATTAAACAAACAACCGCCACTTCTACAACTCAAAACAAGTCCATTTCATCAATGGAATTATATAAGAACCGAATCTCAAGATTCATTAAAAAGCAAATGTATTAATTATTGTCATCCTTCACCATCACCTAATTTCAAAATTTACAAGAATTCATAAACCTTAGCCGTTGTCATCCTTCAATCACCCAACACATATAACAAATTTCCCTAACACTCTCTTACGTATATTTCCTTAAGAGTACGCGGAGAGCCGTATGAATCATAAATACACAAGTGATATAAACATTTCCAAACACATTTCCCCGGAGAAAGGTAAATGTGCAAACCTATTTTCCCAGAAACTCTATTTAACAAAAAAAAAATGACTGACAAATTCCTGGTGACCCACGTAGTAAAAATACCCCCCAAGACTCGAAACTTTTTCCATTCCTTACACCATATTTCTTGAAATAATCAAGAACCCAAAATATAACCACATATATACAGAAACACATTTATACACACCAAAAAAGATGACCTTATGGGAGTGAACCAAGAAGGTTTGGGAGCTGATATTGGAGATGGGACTGGATCGACATCCATGCTTTTCACTTTCTCCACAGACCCCGCTCCAGAAGGAGGTTTTGGGGTTAGGTGGCCCTCCACCGGCCGCGGGGGCGATGGCAGTGGGTGTTCCTCTCCCATTAACTCTGGAATTTTGGTTGGAGCAAACGGAATCCTTGAATTGATGGCGCCAGTGTTTTACTTTTGTGGACTCAAATAATTTTTCTCTCTATAATGGGCATCTGGTTTTGGGATTGTTGAGATTTGTTCAACAGATTGCAACGAATCTTACCAAAGTTCTTTGGATATATATCCTGCAGATTCTTTAATTATCTCATAAAGAAATAAATTGAAGAATTTTTATTTTTACTTTTTCAAAAAAAGAGTGTAACGTTTTAAACGAACTAGGCATGTGTAAACAATTTCAGATATAATTGTCTAAAATTGAAAATTGGGTGGTTTGGTTGGCAACATATTCATCTAAATGTAATCATGTCATGCAACGCAACCTGATGAAATTATACACAACTATTGATAGTTGGATTTCCGTACTTTGTTCATTAATTTATCGAGTACTCATTATATTAAGACATTCTTATTTAAAAAGATGCATGATTATCAACATCACCGATATACTAAAGGGACAACTAACTCGTGCCAATTTGACTAAATACACTTTTTAAGCCCAAACTCAGTATATTTTCATGTTTCAACCTTGCTATATGTACACTATAATCTACCCCTTAGTTTACATTTTGTCACGTGTCATTAACCTATTAAACATTTTAAATTTCAAACAGTTTTTCCATTCAATTGACACTTAACAACAATGCAAATGTCAATTAAAGTGTTAAAAATCAGTGTACAAATAGCAAAGTTCTTCATCTTTTTATATTTTATTACTTAGTTAAAAACATGTTATATTTATCTACAACAAAGAGTGCCTTGGCTAGCTTTCTTCTTAAAAGCATGTTTAGGGTGCCTAGCATGACTTCGACATGCCATACGTCCTCAATTGTGGAGCTGAGATTTTGATGGTGAAGGGTAAAAGTTTAGAAGACAAAATTTGCATATGTATTAAAATAATTTCAAATTTTCTACTAATTATCAAAAATATTAAATGTTACTGGATAGATCGCCACCCCTGCCCCATAGCTCTACCCTTGCATGTCCTCGTAATTGGGCACGGCACAACCTGACTATTGAAAGAGAGCTTACCAATCACCCATGTTAGGTCATGTCGAAATGGATTTTTAGTCCAAATGTAATAGTTTGACACCCAAAAATACTAATCATAGAATTAGAATTAATTAAATCATGGAATATTAATTTGTATTGATAATTATTTTTGTACACTTATCTAGGCAAGTAAATTAGAGTATTTGTTAGTGATTTGAATGAGTTATAGCTTAATTACATGTTAATTATGTTTGTTAAGTGAATTCAATGTAAATTGGTGGAATTTGAAGAAATGAACGCAAATGGACAAAATGAAAGAAATCGAAAGTATGAGGACCAAAGTATAAACATTCAATAGTTGATTCGGACTATAAAATGATGATTGAAAATCATATAGAATCAATTGGATGCAATGGAGGTCAAAGGAGTGAAATAAAGTTGAAGCACTTGCACAAATCAATTTTCAGCTAAATAAGATATGCTCCGAATTTTTAGCATCAACTTGAGACCCACTTTTTGGATAACAAACCTTTGAATTGGAAAAATCATACAGCTAGAAGAATTGTAGTCTTTTAAGTTTGTTTTTCAATGCACTTTGAGTCAACTCAATCAAATATCAAAAGAGAATGTTATGATCAAAATACCAAAAACTGTTTAGGGACTACAGCAAGCAAAACGACACACATGCGGGGCCAATAAGAGTGCGCACATCAGGCATTGTTTTTTCAACCCGAGAGCCACTTGGCTCAATAGTGCACACGCGATGGTTATGCCTGTGCGTGCGGCCCATTTTCAAAGATGAATTAGCAGTTTTCTTTCGTGATTCAAACTCTTTTGGAAACCAAATTGTGCTCCATTTTTACTTATTTTTCGACTCTTACGAATATAAAACGATGGCCACACAAAAACACTCTCTCTTTCCTCTTCATACGCAATAGTATCATCAAATTCATCAAGAATAATGGGTCAATCACTATATTTTGAGAGAGGAGATCAAATCCTAACAAGAATTGAAGGCCAATTACATCAAGAAATTGAAGAATTCAACTTTGGACTTGAATATCAACATTTTTTGAACTATTTTCATGATTCGGGTGATATTTTTTCATTATTCTTCTTAAAATTTATATATTAATATGTTATGCTAGATCCGCTTTTGTATTGAATGAAGTGTTGGAATTTATTTATTTGCTGTTCAAAATCAAGAAGGAAAAAAATGGCTTAACCATGCGATCGCGTGGATTAAGCCCATGCGGTCGCACGAGGCCCTCCCGAGAATGGGAGGGATGGCAAAGCTATAACCATGCGACCGCATGGTTGATATTTGTGAGCCGTTTTTGACCTTTTTTATTCGAAATTGGTGGCTTTTCATTCTTGTTTTGCACCATTTCGTGAAAAACTTGCCAAGGCCTATAAATAGGTGATCCAAGTGCAAGAAAGATATATTGAATTCCATTGAAATTTATCTCCAAATTGTTCGTCCAAATATTGAGGAAATTATCACATAATCATTCAAATTCTCACTTGTTCATTATGAAGTTACATCTTTGCTTTTGGTGTTCTTCACATCAAGGTTTGTTTAATCTTGCGAACGGTTTGCCAGAAATCCTTAAAAGCATTTGGAAAGGAGGCAAATAACGTTTGAGGATAACGAGATTAATTTTGTGTTCAAGCCTTCGTTGTTTATTCTATATTCTTCCCTTTGTTGTTCTTTCATTTTTCCTTCTCTTTTGCATTAATTTTCCAATAATTTCAAACATTAAATTGGTTACTATTATTGCAATGAAGAAGGAATCTACACTTGCTACTATCAAAATGATGAATCAAGACCTGGTACGTTTGGACAGATTTGATGGTGCAAATTTCACAAGATGGCAAGACAAACTTAAATTTCTGTTAACGGCCTTGAAAATTTTCTACGTACTTGATCCAAAACTGGAGCCCATTCCCGATGCAACTGACAAGGATACCAAAGGAATTTGCGTAGAAAGGAAGAAACGGGAAGAGAACGAATTGATATGCCGTGACCATATCCTAAATGCATTATCTGATCGCCTTTATGATCTCTACACCAACACTATATTGGCAAAACAAATCTAGTAGGCGCTAGAAAGCAAATACAAAGCCGAGGAGGAAGGTTCCAAAAAGTTCTTAATATCTAAGTATCATTTCAAATTTTTGGATAATATACCGTTATTGCCTCAAGTACATGAGTTACAAATAATTGTAAATAAACTGAAAGCGGTGAAAATCGAACTTTTCGAAACTTTTCAAGTGGGAGCAATTATACTAAACTTCCTGGTTCTTGGAAAGGATATAGGAAGAAGATTCTTCACAATTCTGAAGACTTTTTTTTGGAAGATATATAAAAATATCTTCGTATTGAAGAAGAATCAAGGGATAAGATTGAAAACTCTTATGATGGCTCTTCAAAGGCTAATGCCATGGACAATGTGAACAACTCCAACAAATTTAAAAAGAAAGGAAAATTTCTTGGTCCTAGAAAGGATCAAGGGAAGTTCAAAAACAAAGCTAAAGAACCTTGCTATGTTTCTGGAAAATCGGGTCACTATGCTAAGGATTGTAGACATAGGAAACAACCAAAGAATGAAGGACAAGTGAACTCCGTTGATGAGATTATCGTCACGGTGAGCGAAATCAATGCAACTCAAGGCAAAGTTCTAGGATAGCTCTTTCACTCTATAGGGATCGAGGGGGCATAGCACAATTCTTCTTGGAGGAGTAACCCAATCTGGTGATATGATACATGCGCTACAATCCATGTATATTATGATAAGTCTCTCTTCAAAACTTATAATGACATTGAAGACAATCAAGAGATACAAATGGGAAATGAAGGAAGATCAAAAGTGATTGGCAAAGGAAATGTGTAACTCATTTTCTCTTCAGGAAAGAAAATCACTTTAACAAATGTCTTGCATGTACCGAAAATGAATAGAAACTTAGCAAGTAGTGTACTCTTGGGAAAACCTAAAATTAAATCTCTTTTTGAATCTGGAAAGCTTGTATTAACCAATAATGGGCACTTTGTTGGAAAGGGCTATTCCACCGAAGGAATGGTCAAACTATGTACTATTAAGGATAACTCAAATAAAAATTAAATCTTTTGCGTATGTTACTAATTCATTTAATTTATGGTATGGTAGATTAGCACATATATGAGTTAATACTATGAAAAGAATGATTAAATGTGGATTAATATAATGTGATATTGACAACTTGGAAAACTATGAAACATGTGTTAAATAAAAAATGATTAAGAAGCCATTTCATAGCGTAATAAGAACAACAAGATTACTTGAATTTGTTCATTCCGACATATGTGAATTGAATGGAATGTTAATTAGAGGTGGTAATAGATATTTTATTAATTTTATTGATGATTGTTCTAGATATACCTATGTGTACTTATTAAAACATAAGAATGAAGCATTTAATGCCTTTAAGACTTAGAAGATTGAAGTTGAAAATCAATTAGGAAGAAAAATAAAAACTTTAAGAAGTGATAGAGGTGAGGAATATTTTTCTAATGAATTTAACATATTTTATGAACAAAATGGAATAGTACATCAATCTTCTGCACCTAGAACACAAGAACAAAATAGGCTAGCAGAAAGAAAGAATAGAATTCTTTTCGAAATGATAAATGCAATGTTATTAAATTCTGAATTACCCTTTAACCTATAGGGTGAAGCCTTACTTAGTACTTGCCATGTAACAAATATGATTCCTATGAAAAAGAATAAAATTTCCTCATATGAAACTTGAAAAGGTAGATAAACAAATATTAATTACTTTAAAATGTGGGGGTGCCTTGCCTATTGTAAGAATATGGATCCTAAAAGAACCAAGTTAGGTCCTAGAGGTATTAAATGTGCTTTTGTGGGATATGCTTGATAAGTGTGTTTTTGCACACTTATTTACATCACAAACATGACTTAAATACAAGTAAAATGATTGAATTGTGACTTAATTTTGTCGAATTCATGCAATGTAGGTGATTCTATGGAAATAGTGAAATTTAGGAGAAAAGAGCCGAAAAAGGACCAAATTGGAGCAAAATGAAAATTCAGGGACCAAATTGCAATTATCTGAAAGTTGATCCGATGAACACATCAAGCAATTAATCAAGCTAAGTGCCAATTGGAAGTTATAATGGAACATTGGAGCAA